CAGTGGTACCTCTGGATGCGAACGGGATCCGTTCCGGAGCCCTGTTCGCATCCTGAAGCGAACGTAACATGCGACTGTGCGTGCGCGGGTCACGTTTCGCCGCTTCCGCACATGCACGTGACGTCATTTTGAGCATCTGCGCATGCGCGAGAGGTGAAACCCGGAAGTAATGCGTTCCAGAAGTAACTGTAGTTCCTGGTGGTTGGTTAACAAATACCATTTTCAGCAGGCATTTCAAGAAGGAGAGACCCAATTAGATAACATGGATTAGTTGCTTCTGCTGATATTTATAATTGATGTTATTGATCTATGCTGCTTTTCATGGAAATGAATCCCAAATCAGCTTACAAACAATAAATAATAATAACATGATAGAACATAATAGAACATCACAAAAACACAAAAAACCCTCTGTGAGTAAAATATTCACTTATATGAAAAGCTAAGTGTCTATGATTTATTCTAGCCTAGGTATTTTTGTGGGGAACATTTGTTCAACAGTGGATGAGGGCAGAAGCAAATCTAACCAAGTTTTAATGTGCTTGGGAGCAATTGCCATGGTGCTTAACTCTTCTACAAGTGAGTGAGAATCTTTTCCCCAAACCTCTCTCTCCAACAGAAGGCACAAACTTCAGAACTACATTAAACACAGTGCTGCCGTGCTCCGCCACTAATCCATCCTGTCCTGTCCTTGTCGGGGTGCCCTGTAGCTGCGGCTTTGAGCAAACAGTAGGATTATTGTCCTCCCATTATTAGATGTGAGATCTCCATTGAGCCTCGAGCCCTACAGCAAACAGCATCCCAAATTCTTTAATTTCCCGACTGCAATATCTAAGTAACACCGTGTGCAATCAATAATGCTATTGATCAAATTTTGGACGGCGTCTATAATAAGCTCTTGTGCAGAATGCGCTGGCAGAGAGCTTGCCCTCTACAGCAGCTTGCCTATTAAAATATAGGTCACTGTGTTTATTTAGTTCTTTTATCGAAGGTATTTCTGGAGTGCCCTTCAAAATCATATTTCAGTTTACAAAAGAAGAGAAAAGAATGAAACAATTAAAATGGAAATGTCAAAAAGGCAAATAAGCTAAAATCCACAGAATTCTAAAGCCAGCCTTAAAGAGTCAGTAAGGGTCAACACGGTATCTAAAAAGTTAAGAACCTGCCGTGGAAATGCAGGATTTTCGTTATCTTGAATAAATAGGCAAGATCACAGATAACCAGCAAGACATCCAGTAGGTAACCCTTTATTTAATTCTACTGCAGTACGTCAACCCAAAGGCACTGCCCTGAACAAATACTTCACCAAGGCTTTTATAGAATTTTGTAACTAATAAATAATTAGTCAATATTAGCAAATGCATCAAAGCAACGAAAACATGTGTGCGACATAGGTTTTATCTCTATTAATTTCCTTTATTGCTGCTTATATTTCTTATCTTTTGATACATTATCCTCTGCTGTGTCTTTACTGTGGATATGGCACAATATGACTGTGCTACCAAAGGACTTACACAGGATATGCTACGGAGTTCAACAAACAGTCGCAACAGCAGTTAAGTAGCAGAAGAGCAAACAGAATTGGACTTTGTCCTGAGCAGAGGGTTTCTACAGTTCAGTTTGAGGCAACACAATTTGTCTTTGTCTTTATTATGTATTCTGTGTCTTTTATGTTGTGATTTTATGTTGTGAACTGCCCTGAAATCTATGGGTATAGGGTGGTATAATTTTTTTAAGATAATAATTGTTGTAAGAAAAACTGCTTCCTTTCCCTTATGGGGTATTCTGGAGCCCATATAGAATTCTTAAGTGGGTTCCCTATCGGTAGGAGAAAAGAGCAGAGGCCAACCAGAGTAGATTTGAGAAGCAAAGTGGCTAGTAAGCCTGATTTTTATTAAAGGAACTGTTGCAACAGGGTCCCCACTCGCCAAACGCAGGAGGGAGGAGAAACCTGAACAATGGTGTTCAAGCCCTTATATAGACTTTTGAAATTGCCCAAGACCACCCCCCAAAACATTATACATGAATCACAGAATGAGGTGGTCTTATCTGCCAGGATACCTCATAATGGTCACTGATTGCATTAACTGGGCAGTCTGGCTGTCGGAGCCAGCCGTTACAAATGGCGCAGTTTAGCATAAAATAAAAACACAGAGAGCCAGCAATATTTTCGGGATGGTATGAGCAGCTCCTTTCGAACTTCTCTCTCCTCCCGTAGCCTTTTTATTATCCTTTGTCTCTCTCCAGCCGCATGGCCGTTTGCCAATGTCTCACGTTACCTCATCCGGTCAAGGCTTTTATTGCCCCCATCACCATATAGGGTCATCACTGCCCAGAGGAAACACAACTCCATTTAAGGTCAATACATTCCAATACATTGTAAAGCTCAGAGTGCTGGTCAGCCGAGGTCAGGGGGCACCCTGCAATACTACAAGCCTTTGCCGTGGCTTTATGACTCCCACATCTGGCCATTCTTTTGGGGTGGTTAATACTTTAGTTCCTGAGTCTAGGTCACAGGCTCACCCAATTCATACACAAATACGCCTTTAAGACATGATTTGCAAGCAAAAAGACCATGGGAAGGCTTTCCCCATTTGCCTCCCATTCTGCAGAGGAATATTTGAGGCCATTGGGTGAGTCAAAATGGCTTCAGGATTGCTCTCCCATACTATTTCGGGCACATGGTTCATATATTTAGATATGTGTGCATTTATGAATATTTATTCTATATTTGAGACCTTATAATTATTATAATAACAGAACAGCGGACGCTCGGATTGCGAACGTGATACGTGGAAGATGCGAGTTTGGAACCCCCAGCATTCGCAACCTGCAGCGGCACATCTGTGCACATGCGTGTTGCAATTCGGCACTTATGCGCATGCGCGACCGCCGAAACCCAGAAGTAACCCGTTCCGGTACTTCCGGGTTTTGGCGGGTGCGTAACCCAAAAAAACGCAACCTGAAGCAGCTGTAACCCGAGGTATGACTGTAATAATAATAATAATAATAATAATAAATTTTATTTATATCCCGCCCTCCCCAGCCGAAGCCAAGCTCAGGGCGGCTAACAACAATAAAATAATACAACATTCTAAAATCATTTCATTATAAAATTAATTCAAATCAAATTGATGGCAACCATTGGGCTAGAGTTCTGTGAAGATTGCCAAAGGAGGGAGTCAGGCTGTGCCCTGGCCAAAGGCCTGGTGGAACAGCTCTGTCTTGCAGGCCCTGTGGAAAGATGTCAAGTCCCGCAGGGCCCTAGTCTCTTGTGACAGAGCGTTCCACCAGATCGGAGCCACAATAATAATTTGCATTGGTATTTTCCATTTATAAGGCGATTTAAGGAATTTGGGGCTAGTAGATTTGTGAAGCAAAGACAGGGATAAAAGGCATTTCCTTCACAAACTTAATAAGAGTCTGCCATCTCAGGCCAATAGCCCATCTAGTCTAGCATCCTGTTACCACAGTAGGCAGCCTCATGCCTATGAGAAACTCGCAAGCACCACTTGGGCGCAACAGCACCTCTCTCCTCTTGTGATCCCCAACAACTTACATTGAGGGCCTTGCTATCTCTAGCAGTGGAGATGGAATATAGTCGTTGTGGCTGGTAGCCTTAGATGGTCTTACTCTCCATGAATTTGCCTGATCCTCTTTTACTGCCGTCTACGTTGTTGGACAACACTTCTCATGGAAGCAAGTGCCACCATTTAAATATGTGCTGTGTCAATAACTCCCTTCTTTTCTCTGTCCTGAATTTTCCAACATTCAGGATGTCCCTGAGTTCTAGTGTTATTGGGGCAGAGGGGGACGGGACTTATCTCTACTGACTTTCTCAGAAGTCCAAAAATGCAGGTGTCTGTGTCAACCCAAAAACACACCTGGTGCTATCGCATTCACCTTTCAGTTGTTCGACTAAGACATTCCTGTTCACTCATGTCTGTTGGTCAGTTTGACTCATTCTTGTCATAGCACTCTCTCACTTTAAAAAAATTAATTAAATTATTTATTTGGTTTTTCAAATTAAAATTTTAAAGAGATATCTCAAACATAAATAATAAAAACAAGATTCCAAGGAATCTCCTGGACTTTATTATTATTATTATTATTGCTCATCTTTCACTGACGTGGGAAGAATTTCTCCTTTTTATAGTATGTTATAGTATTACTTGGTGCTGGAGGAGACTCTTGAGAGTCCCATGGACTGCAAGAAGATCAAACCTCTCCATTCTGAAGGAAATCAGCCCTGAGTGCTCACTGGAAGGACAGATCCTGAAGCTGAGGCTCCAATACTTTGGCCACCTCATGAGAAGAGAAGACTCCCTGGAAAAGTCCCTGGTGTTGGGAAAGATTGAGGGCACAAGGAGAAGGGGACGACAGAGGACGAGATGGTTGGACAGTGTTCTCGAAACTACCAGCATGAGTTTGACCAAACTGCGGGAGGCAGTGGAAGACAGGAGTGCCTGGCGTGCTCTGGTCCATGGGGTCACGAAGAGTCGGACACGACTAAACGACTAAACAACATAGTATTGCTGGATGAGCACTTTAAGAATTTGCTTAATTGGGTCTTTTTTTCTTTTCATATCTGGTTTTGAACTCATTTTTATGCTGTTGGTATTTTACGGGTTTTAAGTCACCTGGAGACAGCAACTATTTTCATTTATTTTTATTTAATATTACATTTATATTCCACCTTTTCTCCAAAGAGCTTGAGGTGGTGTATACTCTTCTCCCGCTCTCATTTCAGCCTCACAACAGCCCTGCAAATTAGGATAGGCTGAGAGATAGTAGCTGGACCAAAAGTCACCCAATGGGTTTCATATGGGTCCTAACCCACCACTCTAACCAACATCCCACCCTGAGTCTAATGACTCTAATGAATTAACTAATAAATGCCATCAGAATATAACGCACAGAGTGGCTGAATATAGCACGATTTGCAATTTATTCAGCCCAGCGGAGTGTGATTGAATAGAGAGCTGACAAAGGGTGGCATAATGATGGCGGCGACGGCGGCGCTGACTCAGGGGCTGGAGCGGGTCCCCGACCAGACCGGCTACCTGGTCATCTGCGACGGGGCGGTGCTGGCGTCTTCGGGTGACCTGGAGAACGACAAGCGGCCGGCCGGGGTGATCTTGGAGCTGGTGAACACGGCCTGCGCTTTCCGCCTGCCCCGCTGCCCCGAGGTGCCCTTCAAGTGTATCTATGTGGTGTTTGGGGAGCACTCCTTCCTTGTGACCATATCTGGTCAGAAGCTGTTTGTGGTGAAGAGGCAGAACAGCGTCCGGGAGCCTTTGATCGTCTGAACTTGACCTGCCCGCTTCTGCTGTAACTGTGACTTTGGGAGTTGGGGACTCAAGGAGAGTTGGAGTGCAGGAACAAAGCACCTTCTTTTTTGTATGTGTGTGGGGCTCATCCCTGTGTTGATACTGGGTCACAAGAGGGCTGGCGGCTCCTTGGATGCGTTGTACATTCTGCTTTAAGGCTTCGTGCCGCTGGGGGTTTGCTCCATATAGCTGCGGGTGTGATGGCGGTATGTGAAATAAAGTTCTTTGAAAAGAGAGAAGAAGAAAAAAGAAAGCTGGGTTTTGAGTTTGGGGTGAGATGTATGTGCTAGGTTCACATCCCTGATCAACTATGAAGGCTCAAGTTGCAGAACACATTGTGCTGTAAAAAGAGATCTGCAGCCAGCTGAAACGAAACCTTTCACTCTTGATCCGAATTGCAGGTCCTCTTGCAAAGGAGTGCCGCCATTTAAACTGCCAGCCTGAAGCTGGAACCCCAGCAAAGAAAAGGGATGTCGTACCCAGCCTTGGCTTGATTCTTTCTGCGGCCTCCAACTTCCCGTGACCTAAGCAAACTTAAAAGCCTTGTTATCGCCTCATTTGGCTGACAGAGCTTGGAGGGCTAGTCCATTGCGCTGGCACTCTGACAGATGACGCCTTCGTCAGAACTGCACCCTCCTATGCCCACAGCTGCATTAACCATGGCGCAACTCCGCTCAGATGGGAAGGGGCGCATGAAGGAAGTCCTTCAATGATGATGCTCATGTTCAGGTTAGTACCACTGGAGACAGGCAGTCTGTCCATCACCAGTACATCCTGAAGTGTTGACCATAAACAGATCTCCAAACCATGCACATAAGAGGAAGAACATGGATTCACATCCCTTCCGTATCTGTGTTGGGAGCGACTGTGCACATGAGTGAATGAAGCATTTCCATCCACCACCACCCTCCTTTTTTGCCTGCAAAGCAGAAGCCGGAAGGAGATGACTATTTGGGTCTTAATGAACCAAAATGGACTCTCATCTGTAAGAAGGCTGGGCAAGCACCGCGTCTTAGAGAGTCTAATTGCATGATTGGGGTCACTGGCCCGAGACAAAGTTCTGCCATCCCTGATCGTTACCAGCTAATTAAAACTCCAGAGCTTAGTGATCCATCACAGACCAAAGAGAACAGAACAGCCTGGGGTTCTAATTTAATCATATGTGGGGAAAGTTTTGTGCATATTTATTTTTTTTGCCAGCTCCCGCTTTGGGGAAGCAGGGCATGGAGAGAGCTTACTATTATGTCCGTTCAAATATTGATCTAGGTTGAACAGCTGTCAGCTCCTGGAGCTGGAATCTACAAATTCTTACCTCTTTCGCTCTGCTAATGATTTTTAAAAAGCCTCAAGCCTGCAATGCAAGGCTGTAAGGAGCATCACGTCACATCAGATCAAAGGTCCTGGATAGTTCTAGGGACCTGGCAGGCAGGCCACGAAGACAACAGCCCTTCCCTCTTGTATGACCCAGGCTGCTGTTATCCAGAGGTTCTGGGTGTGTGGGGTGTGTGGAATGTTAGGGGGAGGGCAGCAGTATTTGCAGGCTGTCGTTTGTCCCTGCAAGTAAACCTCAACCCCATGCTCTGCACCATCTGTAGCCTCCAGACCAACATCAAGGGCTGCTTCACACAATCACATTACAGTAATCCAGCTGTGTGGCTAATGATGATGATGATGATAATAATAATAATAATAATAATAATAATAATAATAATAATGTATTTGTACCCCGCCCATCTGGCTAGGTTTCCCCAGCCACTCTGGGTGACTTCCAACAAAGATTATAAATACATTAAAATGTCGCATATTAAAAACTTCCCTGAACAGGCCTGCCTTCAGATGTCTTCTAAATGTCAGGTAGTTGTTTATCTCTTTGACATCTGATGGGAGGGCGTTCCACAGGGCGGGCGCCACTACTGAGAAGGCCCTCTGCCTGGTTCCCTGTAGCGTTGCTTCTCGCAGTGATGGAACCACCAGAAGGCCGTTGGCGCTGGACCTCAGTGTCCGGGCAGAACGATGGTGGTGGAGACGCTCCTTCAGGTATACTGGGCTACCAATGCACGGGCAGCTGTGGTCAAGCCAGGAATGGCCAGAGCTGGGAAAAGCTATTCCCAGCCACCTGTGCCTTCCAGCCACTTGTGCCTTTAGTGATAGAGCTTGATCCAGGAACATCCCAAACTAGGCAGTTGACTTGATCCTTCTGTGTAAGCGCAACCCCATTCAGGGCAGGCAACTTACTGACCTCCAGGACCTGGAAAATGCTCACTCACACAGCCTCCACCTTGCCAGGATTCAGACTTGGTTTATTAGCCCTCATCCAGCCCACCACTGCATCCAGATGTCTTCTCGGCCATCACCAGTTCAGATTCATGAGTCCATCAAGAGGACTCTATGAAATGATGGCATCACGGCAGACTTTCAACTTGGAATTCCAATGCACCTCTTGTTCTCGTGAGACTCCAAACCACATTGTAAGGCTTGACAGTTCAAGCACTGTGGATCTTAGCCAAAGAACGGTGTTGTCTCCTCGTTCCAAGTGCACTCCAGCAGTACCACAATGTCATTACTGGGGAGTTCATAAATCCCAGAGTTGTTGGCATTTATTGATTAAAGCTCCAAGGTAAATTGATCAGTTGCTCTCTCTTGCCAGCAGGTTATTAAAATAATACAGTGGGAGGTAATAAACGCCATATCAGTGACTCATGGAGATAAGACTGTGTGTCTACTACAAGTCTTGAACCTCGGCCAAGGAATAGGGTGGATCTTCTTCATGCACGCACCCCACTGCCTCCAATCTTCTGGGCTTTCTTTTTGAGACGAGCAACTTTAAGGATGAGCAACTCGCCCCCATTTCTGCTCCACTGTTGTTTTATTCATGGTTATCCAGTCCATTAGGCCTAGGAATGTAGGACAGCAGAAGGGGAATTAAATTCCTGGATTTCGATCTAAACTCTAAGCTACACACCAATCATCCTCTCCTTCCTTTATTGTACAGTTTGGGGTTGAACAAGGGGAACAATGTTTTGAATGTTTCCTGAAATGTAGAAAGTCAGCAGTGCACATTGGGAGGGGTGTTCTAGCCCCCTGTGCAGCTGCTTTTCTATGTGCACATGTATTTTAAAGAAAAGAAGATTGTAGAGCATTCCAGAAAAAGTGATTATTTCAACCAAACATGATATGCTGTACTTTTCTGTCCATAAGACGCCCCCATGTATAAGACGCGTCTAAGAGGGCATTCCACAGGGTTGGTGTGACTACTGAGATGGCCCTCTGCCTGGTTCCCTATAACCTCACTTCTCGCAGGGAGGGAACCTCCAGAAGGCCCTCAGAGCTGGACCTAAGTGTCAGGGCTGAACGATGGGGGTGGAAATGCTCCTTCAGGTATATGGGGCATAGTAAACCAGAGGAAAGAGAAGTTTGACTTCAAATTGCGCATGCAGGTGATTCAGAAGCGACATGGTGAACAGCTAAAGCTATATGGGAGAACTGGGAATTTTAAATTGCACAAATGTCACCATCGAGGAAACAACCTGACCAAAGTTTCACCCACACACTTTTGCTGGCACAACCTTTAGCCCTGTCTGGTGACCAGCAGGATATAGGAGGAATTCTGGAGACCAAAGGCCCACCTCTGGTCCAGCATCTTGTTTTCAGAGTAGCCAACCAGGTGCCTACAAGAAGCCTGCAAGCAGGAGCACAACTGTGCCCTCCCTGCTTCTGAATCTCCGCCATTCCTTGTTCTGAGGCATGCTGCCTCCCAATATGTTTCGTCATAGAGGTTATTCTCATCAGGACCAGAGTATGGAGGGAAACTGTGCGGGAACTGCCAGAAGGCCCTCAGTGCTCAATCTCAGCTGTTGTTGTTGTTTAGTCGTTTAGTCGTGTCCAACTCTTTGTGACCCCATGGACCAGAGCATGCCAGGCACTCCTATCTTCCACTGCCTCCTGCAGTTTGGTCAAACTAATGTTGGTAGCTTCGAGAACACTGTCCTCTGCCGTCCCCTTCTCCTTGTGCCCTCCATCTTTCCCAACATCAGGGTCTTTCCCAGGGAGTCTTCTCTACTCATGAGGTGGCCAAAGTATTGGAGCCTCAGCTTCAGAATCTGTCCTTCCAGGGAGCACTCAGGGCTGATTTCCTTCAGAATGGATAGAATTGATCTTCTTGCAGTCCATGAGACTCTCCAGAGTCTCCTCCAGCACCATAATTCAAAAGCATCAATTCTTCGGCGATCAGCCTACTTTATGGTCCAGCTCTCACTTCCATACACCACTACTGGGAAAACCATAGCTTTAAGTATACAGACCTTTGTTGGCAAGGTGATGCTGTCCAGGTTTGTCATTGCTTTTCTCCAAAGAAGCAGGCGTCTTTTAATTTTGTGACTGCTGTCACCCGATCTCAGCTACAACGCACCATCTCTTGACCAACATCTTGTTCTCACCAAACAAGGAAGTTATGGAAATCCTGCTGGAGAAGGAGTTGACTGCAGCAACACCTCTTCCCCCACCTGTGAATTCCAGCAAAGCACACTGCCTCCGATCGCTAGTAGCCACTGGGACCCCTTCTCCTCCTTGAATTTATCTAATCCTCTTTTAAAGCCATCCAAGTTGGTGGCCGTTGCTACTGCACTTGTAGGAGTCTCTTTAGCTTTCCTCCAGCCACTGACGGTTGCTTCATCCTTCCCAGAAATTGCTCCTTCCTCTCAACATTGTTGTCATCCTTGCTCAGCAGTTCGGTGGCACATGGAACAAGCAGATGAGGAAAATGGATTGATGTTTGAGAGGCCCTTTGTGGATTTCTGGTATGCGTGTGTGCGTGTCGTATTCTCGCTTTTTAGAAAAGCAGGAATTGAAAGACTGGTGTGTATCTTGAAGATTTTGATAGCCTGGGAAACGTGCACATTAACAGTCATCTCCATTTCCGAGGATTATGCTCGGGAGATCAACAGCTCCAGCTTAAGCATGATGAATCCCTGGCAAAAGATGAAGAATGGAAGATTCATTTTTATCTCTGCAAGACCCTCCTAATGAAGTAGGGAAGTACTGGCTCACTGCAAACACAGTAGTTTGTGATGACCCCTGCTTCGTTTGATTAAGTTATAGGACATCAGTACACCAGACACCCAAACCAGTTTAAGTGAGTAGATTGGAGGAGGGGTTTTAAAATGCCCCCCCCCCAATAAGAAATAAGACCTATTTATGTTTATTTTTGTGGTGCTCCTTCTTCACTAATGTAGTGGAACTCACTGTTCGGTAGAAACATCATAATAATAATAATAATAATAATAATAATAATAATAATAATAATTTATTTATACCCCGCCCATCTGGCTGGGTTTCCCCAGCCACTCTGGGCAGCTTCCAACCGAATATTAAAAACAATACAGCATCAGACATTAAAAACATCCCTAAACAGGGCCACCTTCAGTTGTCTTTTACAAGGAAAATAGTTGTTTATTGCCTTAACACAGGGCAGGCGCCACTACCGAGAAGGCCCTCTGCCTGCTTCCCTGTAATCTCACTTCTCGCAATGAGGGAACCACCAGAAGGCCCTTGGAGCTGGACCTCAGTGTTCAGGCTGAACAATGGGGGTGGAGACGCTCCTTCGGATATACAGGACCGAGGCCGTTTAGGGCTTTAAAAGTCAGCACCAACACTTTGATTTGTGCTCGGAAACAACTTTGCATCTCTCCTGTCAGCAGAGGGCAGGGTTGAGAACAACTGACAGTCGGGGGCGGGGGGCGGGAATGCACTAAATTTGCAAGCACCGCCTCTTTCTCTCCCTGCATGAAGCAACCATAAAAAAACCTAGGACTTGCCATGTAGACTTCGGATCCAACCTATCCTTGTAAATGAGAACAAACTGTAATTAAGTAGCCTTTTTTTCTTTACCCTTTTAAGCAATGCTACTTAAGCAAGGAGTGGGGCTGTGCTTTTAGCCCCACTCTGACATCGCAGAGTGTTTTACATATTTTGTTGGGACACACACAGAGTGGCTGGAGCAACCCAGCAGATAGGAGGCATATCACCACAGTCCACTGCCTGGGAAAGGTTGTAAACCAGTATTTTTCCTTCCAGTCTTCCAATCCCAATATTACAAGTTCATTTTCTCTTCCGCTCAAAAAGCCCATAAAAAGCTTCCAGTCCTGAATAAACATTGATGGCGATTTTTCTCTAACATGTTAACTTTGCCATCTCCACCAAGTCCAATAGTTTCATCAGCCATTGCTCTATACTGGATAGGGCTGCATCTTTCCATCTTCGTGCATGTAACAATTTCGCCGCTGAGACTGCACACAGCAATCTTGCTCTCCAGAGTTTCAGACAGAAAGTCTCTCCCAAACCTACTTGGAGACACCGGGGATTGAACCAGGGACCTCCTGCATGCAAAGCTGGTGCTGTACCACTGAGCCACAACCCCTTCCTGATATCTTTCCCCAGATAACCTTGGGTTTTTCTATGTAGAACATGCAACCGAATGATGGGTATAGCATAGACCTGAGTCCTCTGTACAAACTGAGAATCCTTATGGCTGGCTGACAACCAACAGCCTTCCAAGTACACCTTGGCCCATCCATCTTGATGCTCTCCTGCAGCTGTTACGGTCCTTAGCTTGCTGGCTGATGGATGAGAAACATCCAGCCACATTTCACGACGCCTGGACTGCCTAATGGCTTGGGAGAGGGGGGAGAGACAGACTGATTCTCCTGCTGCATCTGGTGTCCCCATCTACATAACTTGAAGGATGCCGAACCACCATCTTAACTGCTGCTCAGTTCCACCCCAGTGTGTGCTGGATCTGTCCAGTCCTACATAATTTCTAGCAGGTACCTACTGCATAACTTTAAAAAAGGAAACCTGTTTGGAAAGGCAAACAAGAATTCCATTTTCATACACTCCCCTTACTATATGATCTGTGCTCCCTCTCCTTATATACCTTTGCCCCGATCCTATTGCCAAGCTAAGGTCTCTCACCCTACGTTACCAGCATAGAGTGGGATTGCCCTCCACTGAACATTTTCCCGGACCGTAAATGGATGGTCAAGTGATATATACAGTCATAACTCGGGTTGAAGTAGCTTCGGGATAAGTATTTTCGGGTTGCATGCTGCGGCGACCTGGAAGTCATGGAGCACATTACTTCTGGGTTTCGCCGCTCGTGCATGCACAGACGGTCAAAATGACGTCACGCACATGCACAGATGCGGGTTGCGTTCGCTTCTGGATTTGAACGGGGCTCTGGAACAGATCCCATTCGCATCCAGAGGTACCACTGTACATCGACTATGCAAAGATGACCACAGCTACACCTCCACCCGAAGGACACAAACTGGTCTGCAATCTTGGCCTAAGCGAATGTAGGACATATGCCAACGCAGTCAAAAATCTTTTTAAAAACAACAACTACACACACACACACAGTTGTTCTGTCCTCACACCCAACAGTTTGTGGTGTCATTACCACATCTCCAGAACTTCTGCTCAAAGGAGAACACTGGCAAAAGCTCCACAAGGCAAAAGGAGGTGACCAGTCTATAACCTGATGACTGAAAACAATGAAGGCATGGAACTAAAGGAAAAGCCACTGTAATATCGCTAACATTAAAAATTCAGGCCATGAGTCAAACCTGCAGACAGTGCCCCCATCACCTTGTTCTAAACACTGCCCCAGAGTTTTCAGCAATGAATTTCTCCAACTTAAGTGTCAGGTGACAGAGGATCTAAACCCCAAGCAGGTTGCCAGGAACTGAAAAGACAAGGAAAAGTCCTTACCAACTGCTCTTTATTCAATATTCACAGAGAGAGGCTTGGAAATGCAGCTTCTTGGAATAACAGTGTTACCCCGAGTGGGTCTCCACCCCCTCCCTCTCTCCCTTCATGCATCATCACTACGGGTGCCCTCTGCCTCTGAGCTCTTTGCTCTCCTACTTTCAAGGCTCACCAGGTCCTGGGAGGAGGGTGGGTCTGGAATGCTTTCTAAAGACACTGTGTCCGTCAGCTGTCGCCCCCCCCCGGTGCTTCTTCCTCCTCCTCTCCTATTATTTCTCAACTTTCCCCCTCATCTGCCTCTGAGCTGTCACCTCCCTCAAACCCCTGTTGTAATTCTGAACTGTCTTCTTCTTCTCTGGAAGGGTCAGGCTGGGGAGGCAGTCTCCACCATTCCTCCTCTGCCCAGTCCCTGACACGAAGTTGTGTAGTGATCAGGTGGGATTGCTATGAGGAATTATAAAAAATATGGAGCAAGCCATTTGTGTCCACGATGAAAGCATTGCGTTGACTGGGTTAGAGCCATTTTGATATGATTTCTGATCAATCCATGCCTCTGCATCCGTCCTATTTCTCTGCCTGACAGGCACGTATAAGCATTCTGAAACACAGGCCAGTTGCTTCATCAGGCATTCTCAGTACATACAGATAGTAGGTTACTTTGATGTAGTTTAATCTTTAGATAGATTTTAAGGGCCAGGAAGAGAGTTCACAAAGAGATGGTAAATACTACACATCCTTCCTCTCATGTTTACTGCTTGTTTATGACCTCTGGAGTTTCCTCCTTGCATTCCTCCTTGCTCCCTATTTTATTTACTCTGGACTACTATGCATGCTCAAATTAGCTCTTTGTAGTTTCAACTGTTAACATGGGGTTGTTTTTTTTAAATGCTCAGAGGAAATCTGATTGGTTCTTACTAACACTGTGTAAAAAGTTCTTTTGTGAATTAAATGACCTGGGCCAGAGGGTGGTGAGGAATTATTATACGCACCCCTCCCAGAGTCTTGCTGGTCAAGCCTTGTGTGTATTCTATTAATCAGAGTCCAATCCTTCGTTGTTTTGGGAATGCTACAAAGTTGCATCTACTTCTGCATGGCAGCGCCCCCACTAATGGATGGCCGGAAGGTGGTATTTTAGCTACTATCTCAGCAGGGTTTAGGTGACACCAGAGCCAATAGGGTTCCACCTGGTCCTGTACACCTGCTGATTCTACCCATGCTTGTCGGTCTAAGCTAATCTGGCCACCCACTTGACTGCCCGCCTAGTTGCCTCCGGACCACCAGCCCTGACGCCAAGTCAGAATCACTCTCCGCAGCTGGGCTGTTGGCCAATTCACGTATATCCTCCATATATCTAGCATAAAGGGGAGACATAAATCATGCTGCTATGAGTAATAGCAGCCCACACTGTACTGCTTGTTTGGCAGTGTAATGAACCTCCATTGTGATTCAGTTCTCTTCTTGTTTCATTCGACTCTTCCCCCCCTCGCTCCCCACCATTTAAAGATAGCCTGCAAACAAGAGTGGGTGATTGCATTCACAGTGGGGATTATCAGCCGCCTCCTTCCAAGCCATTAAGCATGGGCCGCAACAAAGAGCGTGTTGTCCTGTTATGATACCGAATCTGGGTAATCCATCAAAGAAGTCAAAACACAGAACTCTGGAAACAAATCACCTAGAACTGATTCGCCAGATGCAAAACCCAGCCACAAAAGACAGAACTCAGAGCTGCAGGAAGCTTCCTCATACAGCTCCAGGGACATCAGAGCTATTTGGTTTTTGCCTACCTTGTAGCAACAGTCACAACTTTGTAAGGTTAGGCATTGGGTAAGCCTTGTTCGAATCCCCGCAACAGGGGTGAGCTCCCATTGCTCGGTCCCAGCTCCTGCCCACCTAGCCGTTCAAAAGCACGTCAAGTGCAAGTAGATAAATAGGTATCTCTCCGGCAGGAACAAAAACAGTGTTTCTGTGCGCTGCTCTGGTTCGCCAGAAGCGGCTTAGTCATGCTGGCCACATGACCCGGAAGCTGTCTGTGGACAAACACCGGCTGCCTCGGCCTATAGAGCGAGATGAGCACGCAACCCCAGAGTCGTCCGCAACTGGCCCTAAAGGTCAGGGGTCCCTTTACCTTTAAGCTTTGGTAATGGGAGGGGAGATTGTAGCCTCCGCCTGCCCCTCCATGTTAAGGGGATCCCATTAAGGGGATCCGGGGTTGTGGCTCATGTCTGAAGCCTGGGCATGGGGGTGCCCCAATTAGATGTACAGTGGACGCTCGGGTTGCGAATGTGATCCATGCAGGAGGCACATTTGCAACCTGCAGTGTTCGCAACCTGCAGCGCCATGTGTGCACACACACAGGTTGCGATTTGGCACTTCTACGCATGCACAAAGCACAATTTAGCACTTTTGTGCATGTGCAAAGTGCAACTTAGCGCTTCTGCGCATGCACAAATGCCGAAGCCCAGAAGTAACCAGTGTCTGTAACCTGAGGTATGACTGTATATCACAGGGCTCCCCCTGCCGGTGGTTTAGCCATATGACAGGCAGGAGTCAGGATATAGTCGAGTTTCACCCAATGCCTAAGCCAAACCGCTCACATCTGTAACCAATAAAGTTGTGGCCTATTTTATCCCGTTAACCTAAACATTCATGTCCTCGGAACCTTGCCACACAAGCTTCTTCATGCGCCAGGGACATCGTAGCAGGCTTCTTGCAGAGGAGCAAGAGTCTCAGAAAGGTTGGGGTGAGCAGGAAATCAGTGAATATCAGTTGCTGATAGGGGAAAGTGCTCTTATGCCCAAATCTGGCTTATCAGGTTCCCCCTGAGGCACTGTGAGAATAGGACGCTGGATGAGATCGGCTTTTGGTCTGATCCAGCAGGATTTTTATCATTTCCTTAACTTCCCCTCCAAAAGATTCATTTCCCTACCAGAATGATTCTGCAATCTGTTTTGCATGTAAAATGCCATCTTGCCCTTAAGGGGTATTGTGGCTCCAAGATATTGAGAGATGGGAGTCATTAAACCTTACCCTTTGAGGCAGGTTGAATGCTCTCAAAATGAACAATATTACCATATTTATTTATATTCTGAGAGGACTTCCAGTTTTTATATCTGGATCATATTTCCAAAAAAACAAGCTCCCTGTTTAGGAAATGTCTTTGGGGATCAAAGGTACTGAGAATATCATTGCAGAAAATGAAGTTACAAATTAAGGAAGGTGGATTTGGAATTCCAAATCCAGAATTATACCATCATGCATATTTATTGGCAAGTATCAAACATTGGATGGGATGCAGGTGGTGCTGTGGGTTAAACCACAGAGCCTAGGACTTGCCAATCAGAAGGTCGGCGGTTCGAATCCCCACGATAGGGTGAGCTCCCGTTGCTCGCTCCCTGCTCCTGCCAACCTAGCAGTTCGAAAGCATGTCAAAGTGCAAGTAGATAAATAGGTACCGCTCCGGCGGGAAGGTAAACAGCGTTTCCGTGCGCTGCTCTGGTTCACCAGAAGCGGCTTAGTCATGCTGGCCACATGACCCGGAAGCTGTATGCCGGCTCCCTCGGCCAATAAAGCGAGATGAGCGCTGCAACCCCAGAGACATCCACAACTGGACCTAATGGTCAGGGGTCCCTTTTCCTTTACCTTTATCAAACACTGGAGACCTGCTGATGGTCTTAATCTCCCAAGCTGGGCATCCTTAAAGTATACATATACTGTATAACACCTTTGGTTGGGTGGACAGTATTAGGATCAACATATTTGAAAGTTCCAAGAACCCTTGAAACAATTAAATCAGTTAGAAAGATATGGAATATATTATCTAATAAAAATAAATTGGATCCATTTCCACATGCTAAACTTACTCTGTGGGAAAATCCTGCTTTAATAATTGGGGGAAAGGGGTATTGGGGCTGCAAAACAGTCTCTAAATATATTGCAAAAAATACCGTATTTTTTGCACCATAACACTCACTTTTTTCCTCCTAGAAAGTAAGGGGAAATGTCTGTGCGTGTTATGGAGCCAATGCCTGTGGGTGGCGGGAAGATATGCTGCAGTCGTGAGCAGAGGATCCACGGTTCCCCTTCCTTCCCTCCTCCATGGTTACAAAGCATGGATCCACATGGATCCTCAGGATTTTTGCATTGGGCTACTCCAAACTCACTGTCAGATCACATGTCTGTGGCCACAGCATGAACCACAAAAATCATATATCCACTATTTCGTTTAGAATATTTTTTTTCTTGTTTTCCTCCTCTAAAAACTACGTGCGTGTTATGGTCTGGTGCGTGTTATAGAGCGAAAAATACAGTAGTCAAAGCAGACATAATTGGGTGAAACGGGCCGCTGAGCTAACTTGACAGAGGACACTTTATTTTCCCGTGTGTGTATATGAGAGAGAGCCTCTGCTGAGAACAAGAAAACCATGGCTGGAGAATGTATTTCCACAAACCTGACTTCTACTCTTTTTTTTTTTTTAAAAAAAGGGGGGAAAGAATGAGCTGAAGCAATTACCTTCAGGCAAACATTTAAAAACCCATCTTGCTTCTTTATTACAATCCCCAAAATTAATGACTGTGAAAGAGACCTGTTATGCCATGGTAACACTAGATAAATCTCCTGGTCTTCATCTCTCTAATATGTAGACCTCTGATGCAGCCTCTGTTCCTCTTTCTCTCCCTCTCCTTTATCAGGACAGTAATTCCTGGAAGAAGAATCTGTTCAACCCATCTTTCCATCTTTTCACCAGATAAGAATCTGACCTATTGCTTCTTTCAGAAACTTGCATAGTCTACAAAGACTTTCAGAGACTTATAAGGCTAAAGTTTATTTGGTTCTATGTTTTCAAGAGAATCCATCAAGAGTGCACATTTTGTGACTTTCAGAGATTTATAAGATTTCTGTTTGTTTGGTTTTTCAGAGAGTGCATATTTCATATATTTCATATTGTGCCACTGTATTCTGCTCTGGTCAGACCTCACCTGGAGTACTGTGTCCAGTTCTGGGCACCACAGTTCAAGGACACTGACAAACTGGAACGTGTCCAGAGGAGGGCAACCAAAATGGTCAAAGGCCTGGAAACGATGCCTTATGAGGAACGGCTAAGGGAGCTGGGCATGTTTAGCCTGGAGAAGAGGAGGTTAAAGGGTGATATGATAGCCATGTTCAAATATATAAAAGGATGTCACATAGAGGAGGGAGAAAGGTTGTTTTCTGCTGCTCCAGAGAAGCAGACACGGAGCAATGGATCCAAACTGCAAGAAAGAAGATTCCACCTAAACATTAGGAAGAACTTCCTGACAGTAAGAGCTGTTCGACAGTGGAATTTGCTGCCAAGGAGTGTGGTGGAGTCTCCTTCTTTGGAGGTCTTTAAGCAGAGGCTTGACAACCATATGTCAGGAGTGCTCTGATGGTGTTTCCTGCTTGGCAGGGGGTTGGACTCGATGGCCCTTGTGGTCTCTTCCAACTCTATGATTCTATGATTCTATGATTCTATGCTCAATGTTCCGTATGGATCATATAAAGAGTTTATATTGATATTGCATTGTTGTGCTTGGTCATCATGTTGCCTTGGATATTATCAACCCATCTTCCTGCCAGTCCTCTGTGAGTTTCTCGGCAGGCCAGAACTCTTTTCGGGAATTATAGGGTTAAAACCACCTAAACAGTATAGAAATTTATTCATGTATGGGACCACAGCGGCAAGAATGTTACTTGCCCAAAAATGGAAAGAAGAAGAAGTCCTGATGAAAGAAGAATGGATACAGAAACTTATGGCATATGCAGGGATGGCGAAACTTGCCAGGAAAATAAGAAATCAAGATAACAAAATGGAAATGGTGTATTGCATATTTACAAACAAATTGTAAACAGATAAGGACATTGGCAGGGTTATTGCAGTAACCTACAACTTCAAAAGAGCATATATTTAAAGCAGATGAATAAAAGAATAAGTTAAGTTAATTTTAGAATATGCAGGAAATGGAAAAAATAAATAAATTTAGGGAACAGGAGAAAGAGGAGGAAGGCAGTTGAGTTTTGAAATGTTAGAATGATTGTAAAACTATTGAAATGTATATAACTGAAAATCGTATTTATTTATTTATTTTTAAAGAACTCCATGTGGGGGCTGGAGGTCATCCTCATATTGGCTTTGGCTGGAGGAGTCTGCACTGAGAGACGGGGAGCCATGCCTTATTGTTGCTTTGCCCCCAAGCTTGCTGAAGCCATGAGAGGGGCAATGAGAGACACTATTGGGCTATACAGTGGTACCTCCGGTTAAGTACTTAATTCATTCCGGAGGTCCGTACTTAACCTGAAACTGTTCTTTTTTAAAAAAAAAAAAAATATTTATTGATTTTCCAACCATTTGAACACAATAAAACAGAAAAACAAAAAAGGAAAACAAAGAGAAGAAGAAAGAAAAAACATAAGATTACACAAACCATTTAAAACACAAAACAATTTCAATATCTTAACTTTCATTCCCTTATTTCCACAACCTCCTCACACCTCCCTTTTTGTATTCCACTTCTATTAATTGTTTCAGCAATTCCTTTCCATCTTCCTCTGTTTTCTATCCTATAATTATCTTAACATATTCTAACCTTATTTTTTCCCTTTAATACTCTAATAATCTATTTATACTTAATTCCTTATAGCATTTCTACTAAAGCCATATAACTTCATTCCAACATTTTTCTAACATTCATTATTTTTACAATATTTCTATAAATAGTCTTAAACTTTTTCCAGTCTTCTTCCACCGACTCTTCTCCCTGGTCTTGGATTTCTGCCAGTCGTTTCCGCCAATTCCATATAGTCCATCAACTTCATCTGCCATTCTTCCCGGATAGATAAATCTTGTGTCTTCCAGTACTTCACAATGAATATTCTTGCTGCTATTGTTGCATACGTGAAAAGAGTTCTATCCTTCTTTAACACCAATTGGCCGACCATGCCCAGGAGAAAGGCCTCTGGTTTCTTCAAAAGGGTATATTTAAATACCTTTTTCATTTCATTATGAATCATCCCCAAAGTGTCTTAATCCTTGGGCATGTCCACCAAAGGTGAACTCTAATCCTCAAATTCGTCTGTTTTTCTTTAAGTTCAGTCATAGCAAGCGTCAACTTATGTTCATCAAGTTGCCTCTGTAGGGCTGGGGCTCTCTTTCTCTTTCTCTCCAGTTGTGTTTCTTTACATTCAGCAACAACAGCTTTTTCCCTGGCCTCCTCCGCAGTTTGCCGTATCAAAGTAGGTTCCTGTGTCAATTTCTGGGTGGTTTCTATATTGATATTATTTATACTTTCTATATTTAAGTTAATTTTAGTGATTGAAACATCCACTTTCGCATTTATCGTGTCCATTTTCCTGTTAAGCTGATCCAATGAGTCATTTATCTTATATAATGCAGCCACTAAAGCCTCTTCTGTCAACATTCCTCTTGGTTTTAAATATACTGGTACAAAGGCAGCAACAGAAGGAGCAGGGGGGCCTAATGATGGACCTCTCCTGGATTGTTGCCAAGTCCTCCCAGACCTTAATGTTTTGTCAGCAGTTGACTGGTCTGTTTTTCCTCTTCCATTTATCATAACACTTAAAAGATTCAAGGTCAGTCCCAGAGTCTCACGGTTTTTAACTTGCAGCTGGAAATTCCCCTAGCCCAGCTCTTGTAAAGCAACCGGTTTCAAAGGCTTCCACTAGGGGGAAACAGTTTCTATTTATAATAGTCAATAGTATCCTCTTTTAAACAATCCAAAATTAGTTTCAAATTAGGTTTCTCTTCAGATCGTATAAATCTTTCACCTTTTACTGAAACTGTTCTTAACCTGAAGCACCACTTTAGCTAATGGGGCCTCCCGCTGCTGCTGCACCGCCGGAGCACAATTTCTGTTCTCATCCTGAAGCAAAGTTCTTAACCTGAAGCACTATTTCTGGGTTAGCGGAGTCTGTAACCTGAAGCGTATGTAACCTGAGGCGTATGTAACCCGAGGTACCATTGCAATGTTCTTCATGCCCTCCATTGCAGACTTCTGGTGTAAATATGTGCCAATAAACAATATCTCTTAAAGACATTAGCCTCTGCTTCCCTTCATCTTCCCAACAGAAACACAAACCTGGGAAAAGCGCCCGAAACCCAAGAGTCTCACGCAGCTGCTCAGCAGAGTTTGGGGTGGCATGAAAGATCGTGAGAAAGCTTACGTCCTCCACCTGTGGCTTATTCCACTTTGTGGTTAGAGTAATAACTTTTGGTCAGAGGCAACCTGGGTCCTGCAAAGAGGATGGTTATTAATATGAAATTGTCAACGAGTTAGTCCCCCCCCTCTATTCGTCTGCTCAGTTCTTCCTATTGATTATGTAATAGCAGATCAAAAATTCATGGAATCATAGAATTGGAAGGGATCCCAATGGTCATCTAGTCCAACCCCCTGCAATGCAGGAATCTCAGCCACAAAATCCATGGCAGATGGCCACCCAACTTCTGATTTATTTCTAACAATACTTTGTACTGATTGAAATGGTTAGTTTTCGTGGTATATTAATTTTGGGGGGAAATGGAATCAGTTCAATACATTCTATCATCTGTCTGTCTGTCTGTCTGTCTGTCTGTCTCTCTGTCTATCTGTCATGGTCCGGTTCACAGGCAATCGAAGTCCCGGCAGGGGACATCAGGACTGGGGGCAAGATGGCGGGGTAGGAGCAGGAACGGGGGTCCAGAAGCCAGGAGTCAGAAAGCCAAGAGTCCGAGGGTCAGAGAGCCAGGAGTCAAGAAGCCAAGGGTCCGAAGGTCACCTGTGTGGCCGCGCCTTGCCTCTTCAGAACAAACTTAGGAAGGCCTCAGTCCTGCAAATTCCTACTGGTCACAGGGCCTGGCTCCTGCAGGCACACCTGACTCTATCTATCTATCTATCTATCTATCTATCTATCTATCTATCATCTATCTATCTGTCTGTCTGTCTGTCTTTCTATCTATGTATCTGTCTATCATCTATCTAAATGTTACTAGGAAAATGCTTGCAGAGGCAGCCCAATTCTTCTGGGAGGTGGATGGCATGGATTTGTCCCTGAGAGCCTGTGTGGTGTAGTGGTTAATAGCAATAGACTCGTAATCTGGGGAACCGGGTTCTCATCTCCGCTCCTCCACATGCAGCTGCCTGGTGACCTTGGGCCAGTCACACTTCTCTGAAGTCTCTCACCCTCACTCACCTCACAGAGTGTTTGTTGTGGGGGAGGAAGGGAAAGGAGATTGTTAGCCGCTTTGAGACTCCTTCAGGTAGGGGTAAAGTGGGATATCAAATCCAAACTCTTCTAAACTGTCCTTTAATCTGTCCCTGTGTAGTCACAGTGAGGAACATGATCTGGAGCATACGGACTGGTCCCCTCTAGCAAATCCTATCCCTGTGATTTAGGATGTAAGTTACAATCAATCAATCAATGAGGCGTCATAACTAAATTTGGCTAACACAGGTGTGACTCCGGGCTGAAAAATAATCTGCCGCCTCGTTTTAATTGCTGCTAATTAAAGGAAGAACGTTAATGTGTGGAAACCTAATTTGCCATATGTCCTGGCAATAATTGAAGGGCAGGGAAAAGGGTAAGTGTGCGTTAGATCATAGGAATGAGGCTCCTTAGCCCTAATAAAACACATTAGTGTCATCGGAATCTCTTGGTATATTTACTATCATGTTCACTGCCGTCCTCGAGGCATCTGCTGGGATTCAATTATGAGGGGTGCCACCAATCTGTTAAAATTGTTGTTTCAAGCTGCGTCTGGCTTCCAGTGTTGTAGCATATCCAAGTTTTTGCAAGGTTGATCTGGATGGAAATATTATTTTGGGGAAAGTTTTTGGAAGCAAAATAATGGGACATTTCAAAGGAACAAAGCAAAACTCATGTGCATGCGCGCGCATCTCTGATTTTTAAAAAATGTATTTTTTATTTATTTTCCATTTAATATTACACATTCACATCATCTTTATCCACTATACCGCCTTGGCTCTTAGAGCCTATCAACTTCCTTCCCACCCTCCTCATAGCTTTCAAAACTAACCTTTATATCATTGCAATTTACACATTTTCCAATTCTAATTACACTCATTACAGAATCTCTCAAAAATTTAAATAAATATAGAAAAATAGAAAACTTCTCATTACAAGTCTTCACATAACCCTGCTAGCGATGTTAATTGCTTACGATGATCTTTCAGATATTGTATGAATTTACCCCAGTCTTTTTGGAATACTTGATCGTGCTGGTTTCGGATTTTTCCCATCAGCTTCACCAGTTCTGCAAAGTCCATCACCTTCATCTGCCACTCTTCTTACATTGGTACTTCTTGTTGTTTCCATTTTGGGGCTAAAAGAATTCTTGCCGCGGTTGTTGCATTCATAAACAGTCTTTTATCTTCCCTTGGTATCTCTTCACTCACTATACTCAATAGAAAGGCTTCTGGGTTTTTTTAACAAAAGTATTTTTAAACACTTTCTTTAACTCATTGTGTTATGTACTGAGCTGAATCCTAGAACAATAGGATCCAGAATGCAGCAGCCTGATTGGTCTGCAGGAGCCACCCAATCCAGCTCCAGGTGAAAGTGAATCAGCAACCTGATTGGCCTTCAGGAGCAGCCAGTCAGGCTCCTGGATGAAGTGAATCAGCAACCTGATTGGCCTGCAGGAGCAGCCCAGAATTAGCCAATCATGCGGGGCCCATTGTGTAAATAATGCATATATAGCTAGACGTTTTGGGGAAAGAGCCATTCATTGCTACTGCAGGGCAGCAGTTGAAGAAGGAGCAAAAAGGGTTTTCTTGTGTGTGTGTGTTTCTTTGTGGCTGATTAGCTGCTCTCCCTGTGCAAAGGTCAGAGGGGGCAGGGTTTCTGTTAAGCCAGGTGATTAGCTGTGTGAGGAGCTTATCAGAGCTTTCAGGGCAGCAGTTGAAGAAGGAGCAAAAAGGGTTTTCTTGTGTGTGTGTGTTTCTTTGTGGCTGATTAGCTGCTCTCCCTGTGCAAAGGTCAGAGGGGGCAGGGTTTCTGTTGAGGCAGGTGATTAGCTGTGGGAGGAGCTTATCAGAGCTTGCAGGGTAGCAGTTCAAGAAGGAGCAAAAAGGGTTTTCTTGTGTGTGTGTGTGTGTGTTTCTTTGTGGCTGATTAGCTGCTCTCCCTGTGCAAAGGTCACAGGGGGCAGGGTTTCTGTTGAGGCAGGTGATTGAGGCAGTTTGATCCATCTTTTAGATTTAGGGGAGCTAGTCTCAAACATTTGTTGGGGGAGACCTAGGTTTTTTTGTGGGGGGAGTTATTTGTCCTGTCTTCACGCTTTTTATGATGGAGGACCGCTGTAGCCACCCCCCAACGACACGTTCTCAAGCTCGAGGGGCAGGGAACAGCTGCAGTCGCCTGCGGTTCCCGCGCCATGTTGGCCACCGTGCCCAAGGTTGCAGGCAGCTTTACCTGCAGCAATTGCATGTTGATTGCCCTCTTAAAAGACAAAGTCCAGCAACTGGAGGAACGTGTAGCTACGCTCCAAAGAATTAGAGAGCTGGAGCTCTTCTTGGAAGCAACAGAGCACACCGTCTCCACCAAGGAGGAGACAGGGGACTCCCCTGAGAAGGAGGCTCGTTCACCAAAACAGGAGCCAGATATATGGAGAAACGTGACTCAAAGAAGTAAGAGGCCCAGGGTTCGCTCTGATTGTTTAGAAATACACAATCGCTTTGAGGTCCTCTCCCCTAGCATGGAAGACGAAGAGCAGACTCCATTTGAGGATCTCTCCCTCATTACAGTCGATCAGGTATATGAAGACGAGCAGCAAAGTCAGTCCTCAGGGAATGTGCAGGCGACCTTGGAACGGACAGCTCACGGAAGAACCCTGACCAAACCTAAGAGGAGGCGTGTAGTGGTGATAGGGGATTCCCTACTGAGGGGAACAGAAGCAGTGATCTGTGGGCCTGACAAGATGTCTCGGGAAGTGTGCTGTCTCCCGGGGCTAAGATCCAAGATGTAACTGAACGACTGCAAGGAATCATAAAACCCACTGACAAATACCCCTTCCTCTTGGTTCATGTGGGAACCAAAGACACTGCAAGCAATAGCCTCCAGAAGATCAAAAGAGACTACAAGGCTCTGGGCAGGAAATTGAAGCAATTAAATGCACAAATTGTCATCTCATCTGTCCTCCCAGTTGAACGACGTGGCCCAGGGAGAGAGGGGAAAATAGTGGAAGTGAACAGCTGGCTTCGCAAATGGTGTAAACAGGAACGGTTTAGATACTTAGATCACGGACTGCAGTTTCTTGAAGATGGACTTCTGGCAAGCGATGGACTGCACCTCACAACGGTTGGGAGAAATGTTTTTGCCAAAAATCTCAGAAACCTCATCAGGAGGGCTTTAAACTGACTAATGTGGGGGAGGGAGACAGTGCTCCTGAAGGTAGGAGTCTATCAATTGATGAAGATGATCATCCAAATGCCATAGACCGAATGGAGCAAACAGCACGCAGACCTAGTGGTGGGAGGAAAAAATCCTTAAATAAGAGACACGGGGGAATGATTAATGGACTTCAATGTCTGTACACTAATGCGCAAAGCATGGGAAATAAACAAGGTGAGCTTGAGCTCTTGGTACAGCAAACTAAATATGACATAATAGGCATCACTGAAACCTGGTGGGATAAGTCCCATGATTGGAATGTAATAATGGGGGGATACAATCTATTTCAGAGAAACAGACCAGACAAGAAAGGAGGAGGAGTGGCGTTATATGTCAGGGATGTGTATACC